ACTATATCCTCTCAAACATAAATCTAAAGTCACCATAGTGTTTACATATTTTAGAAATGTAGTCAAAAACTTCTTTCAATCTACCATTAAAAGAGTTTACTCTAATGAAAGATGTGAATACCAAGCTCTAACAATTTATATCTCATCACGTGCAATATAATATCTCAAGTCATCACTATAAACACCTCAACTAGTTAGTTCTATCGAATGAATGCACTGACATATAGTTAAAACTAGTCTCACCATTCTACACTAATCCTCCAAGCCACTAATATTTTGGTTAGTAACATTTCAAACTACAGTCTATCTTATTAACTTCATGCTTATTCTAATCCTACAACATTAGTCACCAATTGAGAAACTATTTTATAAAATATAAATCTTGAAAAACTTAAAGTATTTGGTTGTTTATATTATCTCTGGCTATGCCTCTACGCTTCACACAAGTTAATATCAAGATCCAAGCCTTTGTATTTGATTGTTTATATTATCTTTGGGTGTTTATTGGGTACTTCCTTGAACAGAGTATTTTTCGATGTTATGATCTTTAAACTCCAAAGGTTATTGTATTTATTATATCATGTTATTTTTATTGAGTTCACGTTTCCCTTTCAGAATCTTGCTCTTTTAGTAATATGAGCCATTGCAACAACTATTCATCATAAGGTTTATATGAGTATACCTCAAACCCCCTCAAGCACATTTCTCACCACATTAACAATAGTTCTCATCTAGACCTATACTCTATTATTACTTTAGTTCAGAAGCACTTTACTCCTTTTACAATATCTCTATCTACCTCTCTACCAACTCATTCTACAATATCCAATGAAGCAATGTCCTCGGTGTCACAAATGATGTCTTTGTTCTCTTCTCGACCAAGTGACACCAAAATACATCAACCTAATCAAGTATGTGTCACTAATTCTTTATTAATTCTCAAACCTTTAACATAACCCGATAATACCACGGAGCCCGGACATTATACGACAACACACTCCAAAAATGACATATTCAAACCACATTAAATCTTTGATCTCCATGCTACCATAAGCTCTCCATCTTAGTCTACTGAATCCACAACCATCACTCATGCCTAAAATTTTTCACACTAGCTCAAAGTTGTATGAGAAATAAGATATCTTAGTTTATAATGTCACATGGACCCTTAGATCATATCACCTCACATAAAATGTCATCGGATATAAATAAATCTTTTAAATTAAACAGAGTCCAAATGGATCCATCACTAGATACAAAGTACATTTAGCAGCCAAAGGATTTCACAAACAATGAGGTGTTGATTTCGCAGAGACATTCAGTACAGTTGTTAAACCGACTATAATTTAACTCACCTAAATTTGGGTATCGCGTAAGGCTGGCAAATATGTCAACTCATTACTTCATCTTCGTACCTTTGTCGATGCTGATTGGGCAGACAACACTAATGATAGAATATCTACGTCAACCTACTTTGTCTTCCTTGAAGCAAATTTGATTAACTAGGGTTCCAAGAAATAAAACACAATGTAAGATCCATTACTGAGGCTAAATACCGAGTCATTGCCACCATCACTGCAAAACTCAACTAGGTCACTAATCTGCTATACAAACTTGGCATCACCTTCCAATCCATTACTACAATATACTGTGAGAATGTCGATGCTAACTGCCTATGTGTCAATCCAGTGTTCTACTCATACATGAAACACGTTGCCATCGATTTTCACTTTGTTAGAGATTAAGTTGTCAGACGTCAACTGCGTATTTCTCATATTCATATTTTTTATCAACTAATAGACTCCCTCACAAAACCCCTTGCTCTATCATAGAATATATCGATTGCATCGATCCAAGATTAGTATCCTTAACAAAAGCTCAATCTTATAGGGATAGGGATATGATAGAAGATCATGATGGAAATAAATATGAAATGATTTTTTTATATTCCTTATATGCTTTAATCCTTACTCCTATCAATCATATATTTAAATTTATAATTTGAGTACATAATTAAAAAAAATCTCTCCATCAAAACTAACTTATTTAAATATACATTACCATGAACGATGTCATTTCTTTGGTAATAAAAGTTTCAATTCTTCGAGATGGATCAAAAAGCACATTTGACAAGTATATTTTATTATAGGATGAGACATTTAAATTTAACAAAAATCTTCATCATTAATCTCTCTATTCCTAACTTGGAGACCAAATCGAGTTGTCCTCCCAATTAGGAATAATAACCTTCTGTTTTTTTTTTTTTATCTTAGGACGACGCATTTAAATTTAACAGATGTTTATCATTAATCTGTTGTGCCTAACTAGTCATCAATATTCATGCTGGAATCGATTATCACGTTGTTCCAATATCTAAATTCGGGACCAAATTGAGTTATCCTTCCAATTAAGAATAATATTTATAATTACACCCCTTTTTTTTTCTCAAATTGTAATAATGAAGGTAGATTTTGATCCTATGATATTATTATATTGATTTGATCCTCTTAAGACACTAACTCTCGAGTAAAAAAATATTTTTTAGCATTTTATCAATTTTTATGATTCCTGAAAAGAAAATAATTTTACCTTAAGCTCCTTCCAATCTGTGTTCCGAATGGCGTCGATCCTTGACTTCATCCCCTTGCGTTGACTTCAGACCGCACTTACCGCCAAGCAGCGGTGGCGCTCGAGCTGCTTCTCCACCGCAAGCAGCGAAGAAAAAGAAGGCCAAGTGCGACTGCTGCGCCAAACCAGAGTTATCATCCCATCTGCCATTTCCAAATCGGCTGCCCTGCTCGACTCCTTCCCCCCAGCTTTTGGTCAACCGTGCGAGTCTTCCAGTCAACCACCAGACTGCTGACCAAACCACCAAATCGTCCGTTTCCAGATCAATCGCCAACCTTTGGCACATGCCACCTCTGCTTATATATATCCATCTTGGTGATCCTCTTCGTCCAATGCCATGGTTGCATCAAAGAGCATGCTGCTCTTTCTCCTCGTCCTCCTTGTGGTCTCCCACGCCCAAGCTCGTGGTACTCTCTCTTTCTCTATCTTCCTTCTTCTCATCTACCCCTCTCTGCTAATCTTTTGAGCTTTGGAATGCAGCAGGAAGTGATCCGAGCAAAAGGATATCAATCATCAACACCATCACCAACTTAGGCCGAAGACTGCCGCTGGCGCCACCGTCCCCAATGATGGCTCGACGTAGACAACCAGATTGTCCACCGCTCCTCCCTCCTCCTCTGGCTTCACCCCCTTCTTCTTCCTCAGCTCCTCCTCCTCCTCCTCCTCCTCCTCCTCCCCCCTATTAATGCTATCTCGAATTCAGCTACTAAGATTGCAGAATATAAATCAACAGATCCTGTCCCATCTATGATCCAATGAGCTACTTGCTCGCACTGTTGAATAGTTTGGCGTGCGACTGACTGCATGCATATTTGTTCCAGTGTGGAAATCTCTCACACACACTCTCTCTCTCTCTCTCTCTCTCTCTCTAACTTGTGGTGTTCATTAACCCATAAAGCGGGGTATGGGCCGATATTGCATAAAGCGGATCCTTATGGGCTTAAATGGATCCCCAAGCGACCCGGATCCGACCCAATAGAATAGAAAAAACAAATACAAATTTATTACTGTAAATAATATTCTTCGATTGATTATTACTGGAAAGATAATAATACTTTATAAATATGGAAAAGTAATTTTAAAAATATTATAATAATTGTTATTATTATTATTATTTATTTATTTATTCTGGAGATTCATTAATCCTTCACCCAAGTGATGTGATGTATCACGGATCCGTACACGCAAACGTACTCCGTACGTACATCCAGTACACGGACGTCAACCATGATGATTTCCATGGGTTGTATTATATATACAACCATAAACTCCAAGCACTATTCTTCTTCTTCTTCTTCTTCTTCTTCGTATCAGTCTCCCCTTTGCTTTGCTTGAAGTCCAAACCCTTCGAATCAATGCACACTGCAATCACCGGCCATGAGCTGTACCTTGAAAGAAAAAATAGCCATTGACTTGCATCCTCCGAAAACCATGTCTGTAAACAGGAGAGGGAAACCAGTGGACTCATCGAAGGGCTTTGTCATCACAACGAGTCCCCGCTTCCCTTTCGAGGTCAAGAAGGTGTCCCACTGCATGGGTTTGAAGGCCAACCGGCTGCCTTTTGATGACTGAGATCAGCCATGGCAGAGAAGACTTTTTAGGAGAAGCGTTCTGGTGACAGTGTCCTCATGGCAATTTGTCCAACATGCAAAGGAATGGGCTCTGATCCCTTGTTGTTGACTTTACATCGTTGACCTGTTCTTCCCCTTCGATCACAGCTACGGAGAAACCTTGTGATTCCAGAATTCAGACACACTCCTCATTATGAAGCCAAACTCTCAGATTAGACAATCCATTGCTGCATTTATCTGAGTCAGTCACAAATATAAACAACCGAATATTTCTTCATTTTTGGTTCATCCATGCTGTCAAAATGATGCTAAACAATTCCTTCGAGTGAGTGTAGATTACTTGCTCATGGACAAAGTCAACCTGCAACATAGCTTCCATGACAAACATTTTGGATTCTATTGGATTCTGGAGTTCACTTGGATCCTCCAATAGAGAACATGTCAGATAATATAATATATGCACTTGATTCTACATCTCCATTATCAAAAGCAGAGGTGAATCAATCTTTTAAACACCACACACTTGTTCAACCCTTGTTTAAGGTGAATCAATCTTTTTTTTCTGGAAGGAAAAGGTATCAAGAAACCTTTTTCCCACGTCCGTTGGAGCTGGAGAGGCTTCCAAGGTCAGCCATCAAACAAACACCGCATCTGTCTCTGTCATGGAACTGGCATTTTGTGAGATGACAGCCCTCCGCTTACCCCTTCACAAGAGTGGAAAGAGATCACACATCAATAGATTTCCACAGCCTCTTTACTTTATTCCCCACTTTGCTGCACTCTCTCTCTCTCTCTCTCATGTCATTGCTACAAGGCTTCTCTGAGGCATGACACTGTGATAGTCTCATCAAGCTAGCTGTATCTCTAAAGCCCACCAGCTTCTATATATGTAGAGGGCTGCCTTCTCTTGGAGGCTCAAACACTTTGCGTTGCACCTTGGAAGAAGCAGGTGGAGGTTGAAGAGAGGAGGGAAGACATGGGGGATTCAGGCAAGTCTTCGCTGCAGGTCGAGCCCTCGGACGAGCAGGCGACTCGGTTCAAGATGCCAGTGGACTCGGAGCAGAAGGCCACCGAGTTCTGGCTCTTCTCCTTCGCGGCGCCTCACATGCAGGCCTTCCACCTCTCCTGGTTCTCCTTCTTCTGCTGCTTCGTGTCCACCTTCGCGGCCCCGCCCCTTCTGCCGCTGATCCGCGACAACCTCAACCTCACCACCACTGACGTCGGGAACGCCGGCATCGCGTCCGTGTCGGGGGCTGTCTTCGCCCGTCTCGCAATGGGCACCGCCTGTGACCTCGTTGGCCCCCGCCTCGCCTCTGCCTCCCTCATTCTGCTCACCACCCCCGCCGTCTACTGCACGTCCGTCATCAACTCCGCCTCCTCGTACCTCCTCGTCCGCTTCTTTACCGGCTTCTCCCTCGCCTCCTTCGTCTCCACCCAGTTCTGGATGAGCTCCATGTTCTCCCCTCCCAAGGTGGGCGTCGCCAACGGGATCGCCGGTGGCTGGGGCAACCTCGGCGGGGGCGCCACCCAGCTCATCATGCCCCTCGTCTACGAGCTCATCCACCACATTGGCAGCACCAGGTTCACCGCTTGGCGCATCGCCTTCTTCATCCCGGGCCTAATGCAGACGCTCTCGGCGATCGCCGTCTTGGCCCTGGGCCAGGACCTGCCCAACGGCAACTACCGGAAGCTGGAGAAGGCCGGCGACAAGCACAAGGACAGCTTCGGCAAGGTGTTCTACCACGCCGTCACCAACTACAGGGCGTGGATCCTGGCGTTGACCTACGGGTACTGCTTCGGGGTGGAGCTGACCATCGACAACATCGTCGCCGAGTACTTCTACGACAAGTTCAACGTCAACCTCCGGACCGCTGGGATGATCGCCGCCAGCTTCGGGCTGGCCAACATCGTCTCGCGGCCAGGCGGCGGCTTCCTCTCGGACTGGATCTCGACGCGATACGGAATGCGAGGGAGGCTGTGGAGCCTGTGGGTGGTGCAGAGCATCGGCGGAGTCCTGTGCATCGTACTGGGCCTCATGCACAACCTCAGCGCCGCCATTGCCGTCATGCTCCTATTCTCCTTCTTCGTTCAAGCCGCATGCGGGTTTACCTTCGGTGTCGTTCCCTTCGTCTCCAGAAGGTATACACACACGTACACCCCTATCCACCTCTTCATCATCCACTATCTCCACATCTGCTCACCAACCGCTCGATGTTATGCAGGTCGCTGGGACTGATATCAGGGATGACGGGCGGGGGCGGAAACGTGGGGGCCGTCATCACGCAGCTAATCTTCTTCACGGGCAGTCGATACTCCAAGGAAACAGGGATCACTCTCATGGGCGTCATGATCCTCTGCTGCACGCTTCCCATATCGCTCATCTACTTCCCGCAGTGGGGCGGGATGTTCTGCGGCCCGAGAGCAGACGCCACGGCCGAGGACTACTACGCAGCCGAATGGAGCGACGAAGAGAGGGAGAAAGGGTACCACTCGCCGAGCGTGAAGTTTGCAGAGAACAGCGTCAGGGAAGGAGGCAGAAGACGGCGCCCGTCGCCCACCGTTCCTGTGGAAGCAACCCCTACCGATGTTTGAGTTAACGTGTGGTGTTAAAGGACTTGTGGTTGAAGAGTTTGTACTCCGTTTGTATGTGCATGAAAGCCTGCAGCCACTTCTGTAATAAGCTTGTATATGTTAGGCATTTATAAGTGCCCACTTTGTAATGCATATTTAATGTTTTGGTTTGGTCTAAATAATCTAATCAATACAAAGTTCCATCAACTGTTTCTAATCTGATTAGATTCTAAGACTTTGTTATTGCCGGTTAGACTAACTGATATCTTTTATACTTATTAGATGAGATTTTGAATCTTTAATCTTAATTTTTTTTATAAAACAAAGTTCTAAGTCGATGTCTTACGAGTTCATTACATATGTTAACATCCCTATAATTATAAAAATAAAATATTTAACTTTATTTCTCCTCACAAGATATCACTCGTATCATCACATGCAGAAATGATGCTTAAAAAAAAATAAAAAAATAATTTTGTTATCCTTACCGTCTAAAAGATATTAATTTCACATAAGGATTACTTCTATGAAAGCTCGATCATTACAGTTTAAAACATTATGTTAACATCCTTATAATTATAAAAATAAAATATTTAACTTTATTTCTCCTCACAAGATATTATCCGTAAGAAATGATGCTTAAAATAAAAATAAAAAGATAATTTTGTTATCCTTACCGTCTAAAAGATATTAATTTCACATAAGGATTACTTCTATGAAAGCTTCCCTATCCTCCCTCTAGCTTTGTCCTCCCCTTCGACTTTGCTATCCTCCCAAACAACTTACCCAATGGTAGTGTTAGTGATGATCCTCATCTCCTACAACGTCTCATTTTTCTTGTTTTGCTATTCTCCTAAACAACCTACCCAATAACGACATCGATGACGATCCTCATCTCCTGCACCGTCCCATTTCTCCAACTTCACTAGCCTAACCAACGTCTCAAGCTTCGTGCAAGGTCGATAACTCTTTATTGATCATTGTGTTCTAAAGGAGATCCGAGTGTTGCCTCCGACCGCTATGAAGCCTAAGGACAAGAGCAACGAGTACAAAGACAAGGAAAAGAATGACCCAATCAAATAGCAAAGTTAAAGAGGCTGATAGTGTGAATCAAGAAAAATGAGATAATGTAGGAGATAAAGATCACCACTGACGACACTGTTAGATAAGCCATCCAAGAGGATGATGAAGCTTTCACACAAGTTATCATTCTATAAAATTAATCTCTTGGACGATGGGATAACAAAATTATATTTTTCATCTCTTTTTAACACTATTTTTATATGTGACAACACATGTGATATTTTTCGTCAGAAAAATCAACGACATAATAAGAAATGAAGATAAATATTTCACTTTCGTAATTATATGAATCTCAATATAATTTTTTAAAGTACAAAGATCGAGATACTAAGGATAACTAACTACAGAGAATATAATATGTAATTAACTCATATCTGATGTTATTATACACAAGAATAACATCATCCACCAAATATAAAAATCCTGATAACCACATGCTAGAATATTAGAGTCACTCTACAAAGGGATGAACAAAGCAAATTCAGTAGAATTTGAAATCAGATTGGAAAATTTATAATACCTTGGATTGATTAGCAGTTCAGTTACGATCAACAACTGTACAGTCATACTGCACACAGTGAATGGTGAAAACATGACCTGATATGATTACACTGAATCTGACTTGCCGATAACTAGGATTGTGAACATGACCTAAAATCCGATATTGCGTTCCATTCGACTGTACTACAAATACTTCTACAACAGCACTCACATTGTGAACCATTGACTGCCTATGTTAACATGTGAAGATTACCTTACAAGAACCGTCCAACATATCACCTGATGGGATTGCCTTTTCCATGCCTGACATAACTTTTCTTTTACCGGAAAACGGATATCCAGAAATGCTAAGCTATGACACAGTGGAGCTTCTGGCCTTGCTATGGACAAAAATGACTCCATGAATAGTCTTGATAGGCTCATTGTTTGGCATTAAGGCGATCAATCATAAATGTTTGAGTCAATGATCTATAATTTTTCTATCTTGACGTCTTCCATCAACTTGAGATCACTCACTAATTTTTCGTACACTTCTTGAACCTCTAGAAGCTCATTTTTTAGTTTCTTTGCCTGCCAAATAAGTTATAAAAAAATTAAGATAAGTTAAACAGAAACGACCATTGCATTAATCTATAAAAATCATGATCCTAGGCTATGTAATGCAACGTATCTTTTTAGGACATGTAGCTTGCAAATATTAAATTTAAGTACATAAAAGTTAGAACCAATCAGTAGCTTGCAAATATCGATCGATAGTTCTTAAAATGCAAAGATGCTATGAGCTCGAGCAAATATTATGAAGCATTAAAGCAAGACCTTTTGCATAAGCTCTTTCTCCATCTCCTCGTATTCCAAGCACCTGAAAAGAAGAAGCAAATGAGTAAAGTACTAGGACTTTACAGAAGTTTTAGCAGAATGCAAGTCACAATTATAGAAGGTTGACAACACCAAGTAATTAACATATAACTTACTGTTCACGTAGCCTTTTATTTTCTAGCATCAATTTTTGTATCTCAACCATTGGCTTTTGTCCAGAACCAGTCTCTTGCTGTACAAGAGAATTAATAATTTTTCAGGAAACTGGTGAAATGTTCATGCACATGCAAAACAGAGATGATGGTGGTTAATGTTACAAATTGGATATAGAGCCAAATTAAAATTTACATGAAAATCGGTTCTAATCTTCATTGCAATGTGTTTTAAATTTTCAAATTTACATTCTGTTAATTTGGATGGTCATGGATAGTTTAGCTTTTTAATATTTTACATCAGGAATAGTGCAAGAAACAGCAACTTCATGATTAAATAATCTAAAATCACTGGTCAGATCAACTTGCAGGCATGGACATGGTACAAGAAACAGTCAAGGAGAATGGGAAATTTGAAATTTTATTTTCCATACAATTCCAGTAGCATAAAATAAACCATGTACCAGGGTTGCATTCATGTCCAGTTTGTGTGGAATTTAGGCTAGATAGAATCTGGAAATTGGGTCAAGTCCATACCTAGTCAATTTTATGTTTTGGGTTAAGTTCACCAGGTAAATATGTTTTTCTGTTATTTAGAATTGTCATCTAAAGTTTGCTTCTATATCATCTAAATCAATAGTCAATACAATAAGAAAAAAAAGTAATTTAAATAGTTATACATGGTTAAGTTTCCAAAAATTAGGAGTCTCAGATAGGTCTGGATTCTTGCATCCATGAAAATGCAGTCTCTGAGGAAGGGGATAACTGCAGGCAATGCTTCAACTTCATGTTTGCTAAAGAGATCATTCAGCCAATTCATAGTTTGAAGAGCAAAAGCCCTACGCCATAATCAAAATTAATCTTGAAAAGAATTATGATAGACCATCCTGGAAGACTATCACTGACGTTGTGGAACTTGTGAACCTTCCTACATAATTTTGCAGTGGATTGTTGCTTGTGTCTCTTCCCAGACATTTGCTTTTTGTGTCGATGATATATTTTTTTATTATTTCTATGCTCACAATAGGGATTCGGCAAGAGAGCCCTATCTCTCCTTATCCATATATTTTGGTGGCTCAACCATTACTAATTTCCTTTACCATGCTGTTGATGAGGGACAGCTTAGATCTTTATGTATTAAGAATAATATTAAGCTCACTCGAGCTAATAGAAAATTTTGTCATGCAATGTCTTCAAATCAAAGGTTTAACATTCAACAGTAGAAATCTTTTTCCCTAGGTATGTCAATAAGCAAACTAATAGTGCTATCATTGATCTCGTCAATATCTAGGAAAGAGTCTTCCAGTTTAAGTATCTGGGGGCCATGGTCACCTGTTGTAAGATCCCTATGAATGTCCATGATGGAATCCTAGACAAATTCAGGATCGACTATCTTTGAGGCAAGGGTCTTATATATCTCAAATAGGCTAGGATCTAAGTAGTCCTTAATAATTATATTCTTTACTCAGTTTCATTGCAATCTCTCAGTATTAATTAGACGCCTGATACTACTATTAACAAACTTCATTAGAAAATTTCTGTGGTGGAAGAACCAAGGTTATTCTAGTCAGCATTCGGTTTCTTGTGATATGGCAGTTGTTCCTACGACTGGAGGGGCTGAGGGGGTCTTTGCGATCACGATTTGCATGTTACTAAGTGCTTGTATGCAAAAAGAATGAATCTTTAAATGGTTGGAACAGGTACAAATCCAAGTAGTTCCTTTTGAGGTTAACAAAATGGACATTTCGTAGTAACCTAGTGATAACACTTGAATTTGAAAACTGGACTGTTAAGATGCTGCTACCTCTAGATCCGCCTACATGGACATTCTGGCGATGCAAACAGAAGATTATATAATATTCACCATCCTATTTAATGCATAGTGTATATTCCATGAAAAAAATGCTGTACTGCTGCATCACTATCCGGACATTTTACAGCAAAAGGAATAATACCTTTTTCTCATTAATGCTTCCAAATCCAACTGATTTATATAAAGCCTGCACTTCTGATGTTCCTGTTTCAGCAACTTGACTTTCATGTTTTCCTTTTACTGGCAATCATGGTTTTGCCATCATGAAAAGGAAAAGGTTAATACAATAAAAATAATTTACATGATTTGGAAGATGAGCAGAATAACTTACTGCTACTGCTCTGTAAGCCAGAATCATTTTTCATGGAGCACCTTGCTCTGAAGTTTGTTACGGCCACGGCGGGTATAACTTGGTTGTTTGACGAAATATCAGGAGTTGGTGTTGCTTTCATAATAGCTGACATAGAACAGTTGTTTTTGACCTTCTGTAGCAAGTTGGATGTCCTCAACTCAGGCATCTGGCAAAGAGCAGTAGCTGAACTGACTGCCGTAGGCTGCTTCTTGTTATTATAACCAACCAAATGACAATGAAGGTCCCTACAAACACAAATTATTGATCCATTCAATTCCCTTTTAATAGAGATTCAAGGTAATACATGTGCATGTTTTGCAGACAAAAAATTAGAAAGCTGTAATAGTTATTCAAGAGGATCACAATGAAATGGACTACAAAAAAACTAGAAAGCATTGATGACCTGAAGCTCTCCGAAACTTTTCAATTCCTTTTTAAAAATAAACACTTAACAGGAAACTTGCATCTTTTGTCCAACAAGAACATGCTCCTTTTGGATGAATTAAAATCAAATTTTACTTATGTTTGCTCTATGATTTTTCTAGATCCAAAATTTCCCCATCAGTTCTTTAACAATTAAGTGTCAAACTTTGCTCCTGATCAATTTATGACAAGGAAGTTGCAAGGAAGAAAAAGGAGAATTGCCCCTCCAAGATGATCAAAGCCAACAAATGCTGACTGTAACTGTCTCTAATACCTTCAAATTTGCAGCAAAACAAAGCATGTTCATTACAGCAAGCAAACAGAAAGCATTCTTGAATAAGCACAAAGGTATAAAAATATCTGATTTTTGTCAGGAAAAAGGACTCAGAAGCAAAAGAATAACATATTAATCAAATCATTTCCAGAATTCTAAATCATCATTTAGAAAGCTTTTGGTATGCTCGGTACATCAAGATAAAAGAAATGTAAAACAGAAAGTAACAGTCAAGTTGGGAAGAGATTGTGGATTGGTAGTGATGAATTGTCTTCCAAAAGGAAGACTGAAATTAAATCTGTTCTCATGTTTGCAAAATCTTCTCCAGATAAATCAACAGCTACAGCATAACTTGGCCAAGACAAAATACTATCAGAACCTTTATATCGACCTCTCCTCCCTGTGTTGAATAACATGCATCAAGAGAAAAATAAAGCAACGGAGTGTTCATTGTATCCACCTGGTTGGTATTCCTCGCGATTATCCATTCTTGAAAGTTGAAACACCAAAATACAACAGCCTAACATCCCAAATTGTGCAAGAAAGAATGATTCACATTCATGATCTGTACAGAAATGCATCAGGTCCAATCCTGAACCCTCTATTTCAGAGATAATCACATGGACTTGGCTGAATTTGGCCATAACAGATCCATTAGAATCTAAAAATGTTCAACTAGATATCAAACAATCAAGCCGATTGTAGTTAGTTTAATAAGTCTTTTAAAGGAACTGCTATCTAGCCACTCGGTAACGTTCAATCTCTGATACAAGGTTCGTAATTTCATATCGTACCGACATATTGAGCTTTGCTCGGTATAGCACGGTACGAGCATACTGAACGGTATATATATATATATAAAGGCGTACGTAGCCTTGGCGACGTCACCTCCTTTTTTTCTCGTCGTGTCAAACGAGGAGAAGAACGCAGTCTTCTCCTCATCTGCGGCATTCGACGAAGATGTCTTTTGCCACAGATGTCTCTGGCCTTTGACAAAGAACGCAACGAAGGCCGCAAGCATCTCCGGCCTTCGACAAAAAAGTCAAGCCACCACCTCTCCATTACCTCCTGGATCGGGATTATCGAGGAAGGGTGCCGTCGGATCAGGAAGCGTCGAGGCTCTCCCAATTCTCTCTCTTCTCCCTTGACGCTTTTTCTTCCATCGCCACAGCCAGGCTGATACCGCCCAGTAGCGGGCTGCGATGGTTGAAATCGACCATTATCAACCTATTTCAGGCGGTAACGATCGAATATCGACTGTTACGCCCGATACAACCCTGTATCGGACAATACAGGACTAGATCAACGGTACCGCCCAGTAGTGGGCGGTCCGTGTACCGATCTACTAGTGGACCGGTATGTACCGCCCGGTACGAGCGGTATCATTCGAAATTAAAATCCTTGCTCTGATATTAATATTTTTGGCTAAATGTTGTATATTGCTCTTTTTCGCAGCGATTATTTTGTAAACCTCATCTTTTCACTAGCTCTCGAGATAAACAAATAGCCAACAGAAAAATCTACAAATCTATTTATAACTAATCCAATATTATAGGTTGCCATAGTCAACACGGTATTAGTATCATCTTGTTCATCATTCTATTTTTCTTCAATCGCTCCTCTACTCTCAGAAATAATCTTCACATATATCATGATTGGCATGGTATTATTGTTGTCATCTTTCTTTATTGGTCCCTCTAGAAATGCAGCTTATCTCCTTCAAGCAATTCTAAATGTCTATTTTAATCCTTCTAATCTCCTTCTTAGAATGCAATAGAACAAATACAAATACCCAATATTATAATTATACTATAAAATCTTTAAACAATTATGGATCAAATCATCAAAAGACAAATAAAGAAAATCACTAGGCATGTTCGAATGGCCACTTAAGTATATGATGCAAAAGTTTAGAGGGGACAGGATCCTAGTAAACAAATGAAATAATTCAGAAAGAAGTGAAGGAACATGTATAAACTAAAGGGAAAAGCTAGTAGATCCAGATATTATATAAAATCACATATGGTCAGAATGTTAATCAAAACAAACATACTGAAATTCAAATGAGTGTCAAGTCAATGAGTTGAGCTGGGAAGAAACGGGTACAATGAGATTATTAACATTTACACTAATCAAGAATAAATAATTACTCTCTAATGAAGACTATACAGTGATTTAAAAAGCGCTAGGCGTCAAAAGGCGCCAAGGTGCAAAAACGTCCAAGGCTCTAAGCGCTCGCCCAAGCGAAACGAGACGCTAAAATATAAAAATATATATAATTAATTAATTAATATAATTATTTAAATAAAATATGATATTAAATTAAAAAAATCTTACAGAATCACAATATCACATTAACAAAAAATCTCAAAATTCAAAACAATAACAATAATTTCAAATAAATAAAAATTAGTAGTATTAAAATCAAAATAATATATTATTAATCTAATAAATAAAAAAATATTGTTACTAGTATACAATTAACAGTATACTGTTGATATACTGTTAACAGTGCCACAGTAAGAGGAAGAAATATTTAAAACCGCTCGATAACAGTGATACAGTGCTTCGGTCAAATTGACTGTTGAAGCCCTTTCTCATAGTATTTAAACCCCTTCTTCTTTCCTATTTCACTCCATTATATTTTCATACTCTCTTAAATTATCTCAAACTCTTTTTTTCTCATATTTATGCTTTCCTAAACTCTACAAAACAACGATTTGTGAATTTAATCAAGGCTAATTTGGGAAGATTAAGAGGAAGAACTTTCTAATCAAGAGGTATGTTTACATAAGAACAATTCGTAATGGACTGAAATACGAACCTTGCACAAGATATTCTTCAAAGCCCGAAAAAGATATGTGATACTATTCTTACCTAATTTCCATTGATTTTGCTAAACTTATGCTATTACTATATTTATTTCTAACTTAAAAACCCTATCCTAACTTTTTTTTTCAGGTATTTTCGAAGGGTTTTACACCTAAATTAGGTGTACCGCTCGATACGCCCTGACGTACCGCTCGGTACGCCTTAGCGTACCGCTCGATACATAGTACCGTACCGTACCATACCGAGCCAACCTCAAAACACCGGTATGGTACGGTATTGCATACCTTGTCTCAAAATTCAAAACAATAACAATAATTTCAAATAAATAAAAATTAGTAGTATTAAAATCAACATAATATATTATTAATCTAATAAATAAAAAAATATTGTTACTAGTATACAGTTAACAGTATACTGTTAATATATTGTTAACACTATACAATCAAGTCGATGTGAGTAGAGAGAGTAAGAATAACAGTAGCGACAATGGCAGCGAGAGCGGGACTGACGATAGTGGCAAGCAGCGACAGCAGCGGTAGTGGCAGCGGCAACGATAGCGGTGGCAGCGAGCAGCAATGTAAGAGTAAGACTGAGGCTGCTGATTGAGAGAAGCAGCAGCAGGAGCGGGAGCGAGAACAGCGATAGTGACAATGGCAGCAGCGACGACGAGCAGCGACAGCAATGGCAAGTAACGACAGAGGCAATTGCAGCGAAGAGCAACGACAACGAAGACAGGCAATGATAGCGGAGAGAGGCCGCGGCAGTAGAGAGGAAATGACAGCGGTAGAATCGCGAGCAGGGTTAGGGTTGGGGAAGTCGCGAGAGGGATGTTGAGAGGCTAATATCGATGCTTTAGTTGGTTCAATCGAACCAACTGAAACACCGAAGACCGAACCAAACGTAAAACACTAGTTCGGTTGCCTGGTTTAAACCCAAACGCTCGTCCGAAGCGCCCGACGCCTGGGCTCGGGTGAGCGCCTAGGCGGCACCTCTTTGAAGCGAGGCGTCTGGACATGAAGCGAGGCGCTCGAGCCTCGCCTCGTCCGAGCGCCTAGGCGAGCGCCCAAGCGCCTATTAAAATCACTAAGACTATATATGCTCAGATTTGCCAACATGTGGAAATCAGTCAATTTTAACAAGACAATGATGAAAATATGTATTTCGGCATTTACCTTTAATATATAAAGCACATGCAAAAAATCATTTTAATATATGATGATATGCAATAATACATGAAAAAACATAGTGGCGACAAAATACAGCCCACCTAACTTTGTCCTTGCAGAATAAGACTTACCAATACTCATATGTCATCTCTTTCAAACGGTTCTCAAGTTTTTGGTAAAGAACAGATTTCTCAAAATCCTGCTTATCATGAGTAGGTTTTATGAAATTCGCCTCAAGTACACCTGACAATATCGTCAAACACTGAAATAAAAGTTGAGATTACAGTGATTTCTAGCAGGAAATCTCCAGCCTGACAAAACAATTTAGAAAAATGACACAGAAGAACAGTGCATTAGTGCTTACCAACAACCCCTTTACCTTTACCATATGAATTGTTAGCAACTTTCCAGAAGGGCTGCAAAATATATTGAATGAATATTAATTACATATAACATTTGGATGACCTAAAAGTTTCACAAAGCGAAGGATTTATTTTAAAACACAATATGAAACAATGAACGAAAATGCAACAAAACAAGCAAAGAATAAGGGCTTCATCAGAAATGTGGCTGTGCCTCTGCTTCAAAACAACACAGAACTTACACCTTGCCTAACGCAGCTACTCTCTTCATTTAAGGGCATATCAAACCAACCAGCTTATAACAGGAAGATCAATCGATTGTTTAAAAAAAGTTCAAACCTATTTACAATGACAAAAAAAGAAAAGAAGCAAAACAACTAAATAGAGATATAAATTATTCTCAATCACCACATTCTTCATAAGATCTTGTATATCATCTCCTCTGCATCATTTATGCTTCCTGTTGGTTCATGATTTGATCTTGAACTACTTCTAATCCTTCAAATTCCTTTATCTCTACGTCTTTAGCTTTTGGAATGACTCATTATTTCACCGAAAATGCTCCCTCCTACCATATCTCCTTTGACAGTATTTGATGTAGCAACATGTTTTGAAATAGTTCGTTCTGGATAATCATTATTGTCCTTGCATCATAAATGGACTTCACAATCTAAAGATTGATTTCAGCTTTATCATTCTGTTGATTAACATCCATCAAACTTTCCAAGTTAATCATGGGAATAGCCTCAATCAACTCAAGAAGCTCATTTTTCTGAACTCTGTGTGAGCACCAGTGATTGGAAACCCATGGCAATTTCCACATGTCATGAATCAGTGTCAAAAAATTTTGAACAGCCCTTGATCAGGATAGATATGAAGACTTCATGATGAATTTGCTAGAGATATGGCTCATCAGTGATGTTTGAGCCATTTAATGATATTATATGCAAGGTTCAAAAACTGGAAAAACCATCTGATATACGTTGGTCCGTATGCTGATTCTGTGTCGAACCAGGACCAATATTTACTGCTCAGTTTGAGCCACTCTAGATGGTCTTTGAAACCATGATTGGTATAGGTATATCTATGACAAGGGATTATTATATAGAATATGACAAGGTAAATTATGAGAAATTAAAAGAAACAAAGCCTGTAGTTACTTGTACAATGGAGACAACAAGAATCTTACCAATATAAGACGATTCTTGTGGTAGACATTGAACCCATGAATATTAACATTCGGAGCACCTTCTAAAAATCCAATGGTGGTTACTATAGCAGCCTGAAACAAGAAAAAGTTCATTTAAGATTGGCATTTATGCAAAATCAAGTATGCTAACAGTTCCTATTGAGGATAAATAGCCAACTCTAAGTTCTGTTACCGCTAACAATTATATAGAGAAAGTATGTGATTATAATATCCATGTTGAAAAAAAAATGTCGCTATGTCATCAAAGCTTTAGAACTTTTTTGTCGGAGTATTGAAAAACACACATTCAAGAATAATATAGGGAAAACATCATTGTGAATAGTTATTTTTAGCAACAAGGTTGTTGAAACAGACAGGAAAATCACTTCTAGAACTCTATTTGATAAACATATTAGCTCCAAGCTTGTGTAGAGACACTATTGGATATGGAAGTTCCTTACTCAATAATTGAATCAGTGATCCCACCAGTACTATTCACCAAATGAAAATTTCACTAGTTCTCCTTTCTAGGACTAAGAAATCAATCTATGCTTAAAGTGATCTACTTGCTCAGATGGGTCTGCTAATACAACTGAGAGGAGCACTTCAGTAAAATTATAAAGAAAAAAAGGCAACAAAGTCATTAAAACAACGAGAGTCGCATAAGAAGAGAAAAAAAACCTCCAACAGCAAAACAAACGTATAATTGCCCACAGGCTTCATCTTGTTGCCTTATCTTATTTGTCCATATGATCTATGGATTTTGACTCAGATATATCGAAATTTCTGTTATGAAATCTAATCATTTTAAGTTTCAGACAGTCATCACATTGTAAGCAGCATTTGAACACATGCACGTACAGTATAAAAGATTAGTATATGTTTAGAGTTCATATATAACAATAGGAATTAAGTTCAAACGAAAGATACGATTAAGGAAACTCCAGCAGAAGACCATATAATGCCAACTGTTTGGGGTCAACTACATGGATCAAAACCTGCACGGAACTCTATTGAGGGCAATATCACTAGTAAAGTTTTTAATTTCACACGGTCAAGTACAGGTCAAGGGTAAATATCTGACCACCGACCAGGACGCCAAACCATATATAGATGTGCATACATATACATGTATACATCTATACATGTATACATATATAAATATATATATACATACATATATATATATACATACACACATACATATATACATATATACACACACACACACACACAACCATGAGCTAGGACTCCTTGTGAGAGGAGTCGCAAGTCTATCTCACACAATCAAGTACAGGTCAAGGGTAAATGTCTGACCACCAACCAAGATGCCAACCTCTTAGAACCAAGTCATCTGATACATACATACATACATGCATACATATATATATGTATGTATGTATGTATGTATGTATGTATATATATGTTTACGTGTATAAATATAAATATAAATATACATATATATATAATCTAAAACCCCACGCTAGGACTCCTTGTGAGGAGACGCAAGTCTTCATTGCCTATAGCCGCTTGCATGCCAACTGCCCAAAAAACATCAATTTCCACTAAAGCAAAAGCACCAAGAGGGGAAAGAAACCATTGTTACTTATCGCTAGGATATCAATCGAATTTACTCAAAAAACAAAAGCCACTTTCATAACCTAAAATAAATCATAAGGTAACTCCCTTCCTATCAGCATCATACATGAGGCCAAATGAATGGCAAAGTTAGCAGTCTGACAAGTTCAAAGACAATATACTCGCTTTTGGACATATAATAGTTCAAACAATCACCACAATCAATCCCTCTCTCTCTACATTTCTCATGCAAAAGATGCATAATAGTGATGGCACTGCCCCTCTCAACCTCTCAAAAGACAGTCAAACTAACCATTATGCCAAGACCCAATCGGCACAGCACAAAAATAATTACTAAACTATGGCAAATGAATGAGGAAACAAAGAACAAAATCTCCTTTATAATTATTCAGCTAAGATGGTCATTAAAGAAAGAGAAAATGGTGGAAGTACAAAATACTTGAGGACAAAAGGAACTGTAGCATAAATAGCTATCAGGTGTTTAGATATCTAATTTAAATGAATTACCACTTCAAAGAAGAAATTAAATATATATTAACATTCAAAAAGATATTAAGTTGCTTACTTGGTGTCTAAAATCCATATTATAAACCAAGCATCAGAAAAGATCAATGTGTACTATATAGATCCAACAAATCCAGGACAAACCTCTGTTATTCCACCAACTTGCGGCCTGTACAAGATGCATTCACGATACATTAGGTCATTAGCCACGTGGTGGGGCTCAACAACTTCTCCACGTAATATTATTCGAAAATTTTCTGGCATGTGAAGATATAATATGGATATGTATGCCTGTATCATTTTGGAAAAGAAGCAACAGTAAAATATCAAAATTGCTACTGAAAATCATAAACTGCTAGTCACCGAAACATACTCTAAGAGAATAGTGTAGCTTATTTGCAACATGTTTGTTTTCAATGCTATTCTTCTGCATTTGTCTTCGTCCTCCATTGATCATAATATCCTGCAGAGTGCAGACGGTCCCATAGAACAGATTAAATGAGAGTGACATACAGGAAGAGCTCATTAACAAAATCACCAATTATTGCACAACTAGCAACTGAAATTTGATTACTGTTGCAAAAATCTTGCTTCATTCCCACTGTACCCTCCAGCAAGGTTTTTAATCTTGCTGACACCAACTGCTATGGCCAGTTGTTTGGAATGACACATGTTGTCATGCATGTAATGTACCAGCAAACTGGAAACAGTAGCGAAGAAAAGAAAAAAGATATGCATGGTCAATGTGGGAAGAGGGGCACATCTAAAGCATCTACAATACGCCATGCCATAATCCTCGCTTCTGCCATCTCCTTTTTATGGTATCTTTCTCTGGCAGTCAGATGCACCAGAAAGAAGTTACAAAATGTTCCTGCAGCTCGCACGACCTTGATCAAGGTTTACCACTAAACATAGCATAGTTTGATAAGGAAGTGGAATTAGAAGAGTGATAAATGGTCCAGATCTCAGCAACATCCAATCTGATTAATCATATATGAATAAAGTTTAAGATCCTAAAAATTCCAATTCTATATCCAAACTGATTGACAGTGGTTCATTGAATTGAACATGGATCAGAACTGCTCCAAACTGAATATTAACTCAATTTTCTATCTATATGCTTTGTGATGCATGTGACTGTTGTTCTTGTTGTTGTTGATATTATGTTCTGCAGCTCCACCATTACATCTTAATCTAGTAATATAGACCTCAACATAACTCGGTGGCAGGAAAATATCCATGTGGCTAACAACCCAAATAGTTGGGACCTTACAGCTTTGTTGCAGGTTTTCATGTTTTGTACTTTCAAACCAAATTTCTCTTGTCATTTTTGCATCCTCCTCCATGAGGATGACCAGTAACACATCATGAGGCAGCAGTGACACTAACATTAGCAACTCAAGATACAACAGCCCCACCTATACATGGCAATGGCCATAGGCAATATGGCAGCATATTCATATCTGTATGGACAGACTTTTTTCATCGAAACAACAATTATTATTTTGGTGTCCCTTAAGTTGAAACAATTCTTAGTATCATTCTCTAAATTTCTTGTATCCATATGACCTAACACCAGTTATAGCAAGCCATTAAATTTTCTTGTGATGCTTCTTTCTTCTTCTTGCTTCTCCCTCCTATTTTCCCAATGGTTCCCAACTTCGCGTAGAGACCAGAGTAGATTCTCACATAAAGGAAGTCAAATCTGACACCTAACTGATCCAGAAACTTGTCAAGATTTTAGAGATCCATTGATAATCAGATCGGGTTGGACCACTATAAGCAGAAGATAGGTCAGATAAGAGTCAACCCTGATCCAATCCATATCCAAATTCTTTACAAGCCTAAGTAGACTGATTTTGCCCATTTACAACCAAACTAAACCCAGTTCATTTCTGCTAATGATTTCACTTGTTTCAATTGACATCCATCTTTGTCCATATTGGTTTATTGTCAGTACAGTTAAAAACACAACAAAAAGACTTGCCTCAGTGTACGTTCTGCAAGCAACATAGGTTGTAGAATGGAGAATAACAACGAAAGAAAGTCCATACCACTTTTTATTCTTTTATAATTCAACCAGTAAATGAGCCAATAGATAAATTATATTGACTTTAAATGCCAAAAGTCACAGGTACCAACATAAAAAGGTTCTCGCCTTCCTCAAGTCAATGACGGGTTCAACAAAGAGATTCAGGCATCAGGAAGGGTGAATAAGAGGAAGCTTTGATAGTTGACAACAACAGTTGGAAGGACGCTTTAAGTTAGATTTTTGTTTAAGCTTCATTTTCTTCCTATCTTTCACATTTCATTTTCTTTTGTCCCTCAACAGCACACGAATGTCAACATGGCAGCATCTCATACCATGCCAACCACTAACAGCAAAATTCTTGACTGTAAGATTTTACAAATTAAAAAACTCCATCAAACAAAAATGAAATGTCTGTAAAAAAAAGAAAAGAAAGCATTTTAGAAACATTATGATGTCAGAAAAGAAATTGCAAGCAAACAAGCATTAGAATAGAATCTTTAATCATCTAGAGTAGTGCTATACTATGAAGCAATAAATCTTTGGTAAGATGCAATAGAAATAGATAAACTAATTAAAATTTACATTTTAGAAATAATAGTGATATTCAGTTCTAGAAAATAATAACAATGCAACCAAAAAATGAAAAATGTCATGCAAACCTTTGCATCTGATTGGAAATCGATCTCCGTATCCCCATCATCATTCAACCATAAGTTGAATACAATAACTTTTGTTCCATGGTGCCCTAGGTCATTAAACTGTTCACTAGTTAGAAGTCAACTAAACCAAAAGAAAAAAATAAAATAACAAATTTCTACAAACACTTATATGAAGTTCTATATTAAATTTCCCAACAAATGCCACAACAAAAACAATTAAATTCACATTCCTTCATGGAGACACAAATTCCAAGGCAATCAAAGCTATACAAAAGGGTAATAGGACAATAATGTTAAAGGTTTATGTATATTCTAAATTAAGAAAATATTATGAAGTAGGAGTTAGAAAAACATGGAATAACTATCATATAATTTGTTGACACACCAAGACAACAAGTAAATATATTAAATAATTAAAATTTAACAAGAAATGGACAGTATCAACAGGGAAACTGACAGAATGATGATTAGTGACAATTAAAAAAGAACACAAAAACATAAATAGTTCAGCAGATATCATTAATAATTTATTTTAAACATCTTAGTTTCATGCTTTGACACATTGACACTGCATCTTTTATCATATATATGTCACTAGCGCCAGTATTATGTCATAATGACGATAATTCAAATCAGGGTTTTGAATACCGATCCGTACTAGCATACCGAGCTCTACTCAGTATGGTACGTATCGGTATATACCATCGGTACACCAAAACGTATCAACGATATATCCTAAAACCTTAAAAATACCTCCACCTACCACGCCAGAGCATACCAACCGATACGCCTCGGTAACGATCAAAATCCGGGACGGTACCGATTGGTATGCCTCGATACCGATCAAAACACTGGTACCGCCCGGTAGAGGACATTCCACGTACCAGTATCCTCTCGAATCGGTACATACCGCCCATATCGGGCGATACACATCGAAATTGAGAACCCTGATTCAAATGCAAAATATCAACAACTGTTGTCAATTTACTCCATCAAATTTTATTATCTAAATTCACCAAGGATGCTAATGCCTGTAATAGTGTGCATAGTGCCTTTCAAAACCGTGTAGGGCAGCAACAACATTGTATGTGACAAATATACCACAATTTTATTAGTGCCTGAAAGGGATAGAATGATAGCTCACTAAGGCTGTAATTCCATTATAATCACATTTCGAAAATGAATTAACATGTACGAATGTGATTCCAAATTACACACCACAATAATCATGGGAAGGAGAAGTAATCCCTTTCTTAAGAAAGCAGTCTAATATATGGATAGGAAATCATAAAGTTTATAACAAAAACAAGAATAATACTTTTAAGTTTAAGCCAGTTTCTATGCAGGGTTTATAGAATGGAAACATCTAAAAATACTAATTTATAAATACCAACAAAACAACAAAGCAAATAGCTGGACTTTTATCATTACATGTCCTGGTGATTCAATCATTTTCTTTTGAGTAATTTAACTACCTGTTGATGCCTCCTGATAAAATCCATTGCATGTCTCTTTAGCCACAATCAAATGCTTAATATTCTTTTAACAAAATTCATGAAATATCAAAGAACATATAATGACTTGTAAGAGTAGCACTACTGTGCTTCTCCATGCTGATTGTTGTGAACTTTTTCACATGAGAAATCAAACACTAATATATTGGCAACATTTTTTTGCAGCTTACTTGATTTAACAATTCAGCTTCTGTAGTGAAAGGAGACCACTGCAGGATTGTTGACAAATTAGAAGAAAACTGTTTCTGATTGTGGCGATATAATCTCTTGAATGAATTGGTAGGTGGATCAAATTCATAATCAACCTATGCAAAACAAAAAAAATCAAATACACATCAAACAAACTAGTTAATGGAAATAACTGAAACTTAAAGCAAAGGCATGTTTATGTAAAAAAATTAAGTCCATAAAGCCAAACAATATATTTAAAAAAGAATTGAACTTACTGTTGGCACAACTATATCATCACAACCTGTTTCCTTGAGAAAAGTATAAGAAAGAAACCCAACACTTTGGGTAAATATCCTGGAAGAACAGAAAATCATTGGTCTCTTGAGGTAAAAGATAAATAAATAAATTGCATTGTAACCATGAATTTGTAGTTTCCTAAACGTGTTGGTCAAGTGTACATGGTCTGCACCATGGTTTACATTTCACTCAGATGTGCCAGTGTGCCTGTGCCTGTGCCTGTGCCTGTGCCTGTGCTTGTATGCCGGCATGTACCAGACCCATACCGATCCAACCGGGGACAGCCATGGGTCGGGTACCCGACACGTCAAACCATGGCTTGCACATCTGCAGCACATCAAGACAAAACCTAGTTTATTTGTAAGACATCAATTATTAGGTTGAAGTTATATATTAACCAAGATTTGAGGTTAAAGAGTAAGTTAATATAACATAAAGCATAAGCTTAAGAAAGATCAGCATCATAATTATACGACAAGATTTTTCAGCTGAAAGGCGAATATATAGTTAAAGTTCTTTCTTTCAAATATATCAATAAGAAAAACAAGTTTCTGCTACAAATATACATTGATCCAATTGATGTAATCCCTAACAAGTCCAAAAGCAACTGTTTCTAGTCTAAATTTTTTTTTTTTTTCATTTGCACACCCTCACTTCACTACTACATCTTTCTGGTATGATGTTTCCAAACTGCAGATTGCAAACAAGATATTAGATGCATATCTCTACATAAATCAACTTGCATATCTCTTCAATCTCTGTTTCTTGTCGAGATAATTAAACAAGTTGTCAATTCTACAGGTCTTTTTCCTTGATCATATATTTTAGTTCTGAGTTTTACTTATAACTAAATGTTCTTTTTACATGCAAAATACAGTTGTATTCTTCATGCATAATCTTATTAATCCTAAGCCCATAGATTCAAAATTCATTCTTGTGTTCCATGCATGTGTGCTTGTGTGTCAGATTTAATCTATAAATTAAAATAAGAAAAATAATACATAGGTGAAAAACATGTAATGTTTGAGTATTTATTTCTAACTTGATGGGTAAAGTAAAAAAGATACAGTCCAACTAGAAGGAGAAAAAGAACTTTTACCAGAAACAGATATTCAGGGATTTCACAAGACCTATCCTTAAAGGCAGACAGATAAAGAAGTTATGCACTATAAAACAACTCTAACATATAGCTAGTAGCGAGAAGAACCAATAAAATCTTATGGCACTAATTTGTTCAAATATTAGCACAGCAAAATCAGAGCAATCATTTCCAATATGCAGACTCTGATTTTAAAAGTCAGCAACACAAGTATAATGCTGAAAGAAAATAGATTATCAGTAAGAAATAAAGCCGGAAATATTGACCTTTCCTTCTTGAAACGGCTAAACACAATCACGTCTGCCCCAAGACGCATGGTACTTGTCTTGAAACCATTTCCATCTAGGATAGAACTCAGGAATCAATATAAAGCATACAACAAATAAGCAATCCAGAAACTGAATTATGAAGGGTCCATACACTGTCCGATTGATGATCCTGACTGTTTTTCCGAAAATCCAAAGCTCATGCACCGACGAAGAGATTCTGGACCCATTCCTCCTCCATCATCTAATTCATATACATGCATTTTAATGTTCATTATGAACTTGAAAGAACTGTCAATATATAAATGCATATATTTGAATGAGTGGCAGAAACAATTTAAATTACCCTGAATCAGCAAAGCAAGACTTCTATCAAGTGGATTTGTAAATTTTTCTACGGTGACAAATGTTGCTCCATTTTTGACCTATTACATATGAGAAGTCAACTGTTAGTAGGAACTAATAGTTTGTTCAAAGAGATCAACTGTTGATAACAATATAACACAGCACCAAAATTTATACTTCTAACTGTCGATAAAAAAATTAATTTGATAGTGTATTATACTATTATGTAGTACTACCTACCTCATCAACTGCATTATCAAGCAATTCTGCTATGGCTGCAGTAAAATAAATTTCAAAAGGATATCACTACAAATCAGTCAACAACTTTTGTAAGAAACAAAACAATGAGGAAAGCCGGTAATATGTGAAATTGCATACCACCAAAAGCCCACTTATGCGAAGTTGCATTTGAATGGAGGAACTTAGGATGGATACGTAAACGGTTCCTTCCAGCTGTGCGAGAACAGATGAAAATTGATCGATTATCAATTATGACCCATGCTAAATGACTAAATATAACCACATTGCATAAGAAGCTTGTTTGAAAAAGGAAACTATATAAGCCTTTACTAAATGCCTCGGAGAACCCAAGTTTAACATAATCATACGATCCATCACCAAGATGCCACAAAGTTCAAATAGCTTTATTAATTAGGGCACTACTGATCCTTTAGATCATTATTAAAAAGGGAAGTATACTTTCCTCAAATAAAAATTAAATAATTACATTTTTTTATATTAGTTGATACAATTTTATCATGTAACTATTATATTATCATGTTGTTACCAGAAAACAAGTTGAATCAATTAATTTTCAGGGTTTCCAAATGAAGCCCATTAGGCATCAAATTCTTATGCACTTTAAGCGTCCGAAAGAAGAAAATAAGATACTTTTACTAAAAAGAAATAATTTTCATGTTTTGTAACCAATGTCATAACAATAGTTTTCATTGACCAAAAGACAAGCATACTTGCTCAGTTCTATTTTTTCACAAGCTAAAGAACATATCTCTTCCAAAGAAAGACAAGAAATAAGAGGGTAATTCAACTTGAACAACAGTGAGCACAAATCAAACTGAGGACATTTCTTCTTAGACATGTCAAATTAGCTCTCATATGACACTTTTGTGGCACACCAATATGTCAAATAACTATTCATGATGATTCCTTCCTGATCATGTTAAGACATGGCTCTCAAAAACAGAACACATGTTAGCTTTTCAACATAAAGTTGATTCTCGAAAAGGTATCCTCCTCCATGCATACGATCTGTGAACAATTTGTGTCTCTACATGTTCAGCATGCTTTTATATTTTCTTAAAACAAAATGATCTATCAGCTTATATAATTAATACCAATCCTTGATACAGAAATAGAATCATAAACATCAAAATAATAGGTAAAATAATACTTTCGGATATTGGTGAAATAGCTTGTCCAACTTCATAGTCGCCAGATTTCCAGAACTGCCAACAAAGACGAACAGGAGGAGAGGGTGAGGCAAATTTAGGGACAATCCCATTAGTAGATGAACTCCCTTGATCTGTTATGCTGGAACCACTGTTCGGACTTCTGCTTTCCTCAAGTTCTTGCTTGATGGTACAATCTTTGTAATATGCCTGATCATTTGCAGCAGAATAGCCTTCTTTATCTTGATGAACACATAAAGACAGTATAGGTTTAACATCTTTCACATCTGCCTCTTCAGATTCTTCATCGCTGCATAAGTCGATGAAGTTTGAACAATTCATCCCAATGACTGTGATTGCAAGACACATCAAATGAACCTCTAAAGTCAAGAACAGCTAACAGAACAATTTATTTCCATCCAATCAAAGGTACATGAAAAAACTAATGAAAGGACACGTTTGGAATCCAAAAAGAAATGAGAGTGCAACAACATATGTAAGAAAAACCAGATTTTTCATGGATACATGCTTAGTATGGAATGGAACAATCTAATGACATCAAAAACTAAACAAAGTGATCAAGATACAAGATCAAGTATTGGCTTCAATTTCTGCACTTGCTCAGTCATAAATTACATCACCCATTTTGTTTATAGGTAAACAACAAGAACAAAGCATCTTGGAGTAAGCACTAACTGTTATATAGTAACTATGTAAGGATTAATCAACATAAAGATGAACTAATCATCATGCACAAATTTCAGGAAGCACATCATAAAAATTTTGACATAATGTTAATATCAAGGGTTGTCATGCAGACCTTACAAGGCATACCAGTTTGTAGTTTGCAAAGATGATGCACCCACACACAATCAGTTCTTATACTACGTCAAGAGTCTGCTAAATACACCTATATCAATGTGATTCGCTTGTATTAGCACAAGGCATGTTGTGTAATACCAACCTGCACATATTGGTCCATCAAGAACCAGTGCAATACCATTATTGCAGTACCAATTGAGAGCTGTAACATAAGTATGACGAATATGGCATTAAGTGACCCAAGTGACACAAAGGATATGATGAGATGAGATGAGGAAAAAAATCAACAGCATAGGAATCATTTGGATTTTCTTAAAACTACAAACAGCGATGAGACTGCTTATTACAGTTTTATCAAAATATTGTTGTTACTTGTTATGGCAAAAAGAAAGGAGAGTAAGAGAGAGGTATGAAGAGGAGGCAAAAAGAGAGAAAAGATAAGAACCAAAGAAGAGACAAGTGATAGGACCAGGCAACCATTAAAAAATATTGTCAACCACCATGAACTAGATAAAAATTGAGAGAACTATATTGTGACCCTTCTTTTAATAGATAGACTTCCCAAATCCATCACCTAACAAATCAAGAACCCTACACAATCTAAAACTATCAAAATCAGTACACCGGTACGAACCAGTAAGACAAACCATAAATAAAACTAAGACAAAAGCTTCTTCCTCTTTTCTTGCTCCACTGCCTCCTCTTCTTCCTTCCTTTCCTCCTTCCTCTTCCTCCCTCTTCTTCCTCCTCTTCCTCCACCACCACCTCTTCATTCATCTTCTCCTTCTTCTTCTTCCACTTTAAGCCTTCAATAAATACCAGTGTACCATATGCCAGTACACCAGTACTAATCGGTACATACCAGTCCAGCAAAGGAGCAGTATAGTACCATAGGACAAGATTGGAATCCTTGGGCTCGACAAGCTTCTAAGCAGACTACTACTTATAAACCCTTTAGGAATCTCAAAACTAGTTTGGGTAATAACCAAGTACTACTCGTTGAACTCTTTCCCAAACTCAATATTATCTCTATTTTCTAATAATCCAAACTAATTCCAATATGGCCAACAAGAATATAATTACAAAGTTCATACAAAAAAAAAGTGCAGTGCAAGTGAATTATGTTCCAAAGCTGTCAAGGCCATCATCACCATAAGAGAATTTGGACTCAATAAGGCTCTATAGATTTGAGAAAAAATCGATGACTAGCTATCCACATGAAGATTAAACCTCCAGAGTATGGGCATTTCATAAGTAGCATAAAGTATTGCTGCATAAATAATCTAAACCTAGTGAAAAGTTCAGAAGAAAAAGAAGAAACTAAATGGTTATAGTTACAAAATTCCCTACATTTAGGAGAATTAATCCGAAAAAAACAACAAATTTTTATGTAGGGAGCAAATAGTCATCTCAAAGACACAAAGATCCAATGATCCAATAATAAAACATCAAAATATTTTCAGGAATTGTGCTATAAAGTGAAATGTATAAAGCAGAAAAAAGGGCTGACTAGTATAAACGTCAAATGGAAAGGAGAACAAATAAAATGAACAGAAGAAAGTTGCTCCATGGAAGGGAGAAGGGAAAGGGGACAATTGGCTTTCTACAAGACAAAAAAGGAAGAACAGGCTAACTCCTTTCCAGACTCCACAGATTGAACTACGTTTCAGTGATCAAATAGCTGCAGAGCCCTAATTTATTTACCACACGCACTAATAACAGCCCGTTAAGAGAAGAAAGGGGAAGTTCAAAGACTTCTACAAGAGCAGTCTTTCTGCATCAGCTGAAATACATTTTGCCGACTTCATTACCGAAGAGCGAGAAAATTACCTTCTTGCCGGATTCGGCTTGAATTGGAGATTCCAGTAACAAGTCAGAAAATAGAAAAAAATCAAGATAATCCAAATAAAGGGGGGGACATAGAACAATGGAGAACTGATTCGCTTCGAAGGCGAAAAAGAATTCTCTCCTTTTGCAACTCCACAAATAGAGGCAAAAAAGACAGAACCCTAACCCAAATTTCTCCCATACGTCGCGACAATGCCCGTTCGAGATGAAAAAGAGGGCGGAGAAGCCAAGATCACGGCCTTGGCAAGGACTGCAGGTGAGCATTATTCGACTGAGAGCGAGAGGAATACCTGCCGGTTGGAGTTGGCTTGAATCGGAATTGCCCTTTCCGTGAGAAGCGGGCAGAGGAGAGAGGTGAGAGCGAAAAAGACCCTTTCCTTGGCGGTCGAAAGCTTTAACATTCGCGTCTAGCAAAACCACCGTTGGATCTCTTAGGCAGCCATCTCATCCACCATCCACTTCACACAATGCGTCTCACCCGAATTCCTCCCTCCAAAGTGTAGCTTGCAACAACAACAAACAGAAAAAAAAACTGCTGGTAGTAAAAAAAAAAGATTCGTTTATGGAGAAGAAAAAGAAAAAGAATTGCACAAGTTTTTTTTATTCAAAGCATTTTGTAATTCCCGAATTTGGTTTTTCACAGAAAGGCGTTCACACATTTTTGTTTCTTGTAATGTTCATGAGGATCTTATGAAAATTTAATGGAAATAATTGTTATTCAAACGTGGCCTTTATCATGATTTAGAAACCAAATGATTACATAATCTTTAATTTCTTTATTTCTTACAATTCATAACACCTGACAAGCACCACTTAAAAGAAAAGAATATTAATTATTGCTCGACACTAACCGTATATAATGTCGAACATATACCAAGCGATACACATTTGATATCGAACCTATACCGACTATTTTATTTATTTTGTTTATTTTGATATCGAACCCATACAACAAAATTAAGAATATCAACATGTATGATATAACCTACTGTTAGTATTAATATGCAACAAGAACTCACATTTCATTGATAACAGTAGGAAGCTGAGTGGTAAAAAGCTTACAGGAACAGCAATGATTTGTGATCTAGTGGTAGTAAAAGTTAATCTTTTGGGCTGCAGAGTCTCAATTGCATTCAATGATCAGAACAACCAGGAACCGAACCCTTAACTAGAAAAAAAGGACTTTAGAAAAGGACGTCGACCATTCATGAAATAATTTACAGAGGCACAGATTTCCCCAGCATGCACTAACCTTACAGTGACTAACCCCTCCAAGAGTTGTTCCCGACAAACGACGAAGGCACCATTAATTTCCCATGCGTAGGGAGTAAATCTTAGCAAAAACATTTCACATAACCAGGGGGGTCACTATGGACATCCCAGGCGATGGAAGCTATTGATACAACTTGGGCATAAGTTACAGGTCATCATCGTTGCCACCACGGTGGTAACCCATAGAAACGCCACCAGCGACCATCCGATCGCCCTCAGAGCCTTCTCCACCTTCGACAGCCATGTCATCGTCATGATCAGCTCCATGTGGGTTCCCACCATACTGACGATCCCTCCATCCTCGATCTCGGTCCATAGATTGGCCATATGAGAACTGGCGTTCAGCATCTTCTGCAAAAGCAAAACCGTACATGAGCGTTCAGTCCTTTTTGCAAGCAGAGTATAGTTCTAGCAAATTGTGTTATCTTCTCGATCTCTGAGTGGAACAGTATACACTTATACTGAAAAAAATTCTCATGCTGACAATTTTGAGTATTTAACATTCTGATGTTATGCAACTCAAAACATAAAAATGAAGTTTTAGGTCAAATATTTAAGACTGATAAATTAAAAGATAAGAGAATCTACTATTAACATGTTCTATATGCATCAGCAAATCATGACTGCAATAGCATAACCAGCATCTTGACATGGTTTGGAGTTGTGAAGTCAGACAGATTCTGCTTTGTACTTCACAAAGCTCAGAATCATACACAAAATTAAACAGAATGATGAGGCCAAGTATTTACCACTTTCTCCATCAGAGGCATCAGCTAATCTTGCAATCGCATCAATCAATGATAGTTCATGCTCCTGCATGCAAAAAAAATGCCTTGATACATCTTTTTATAATGAGACCAGACAACTGATCCATTCATAATGTTTCTTTTTAATTACATACTTTCAGCATTTTCTTGGCTTTCTCAAACTCAAGAGGATCAGGATGACTTGCACCAAGAAGCTTCTCCACCTGGGATGCACAAGAATGTTAAAAATGAAATGAAGATAAGGGTCAACAGTGTCAATTTGTCAAGCACATACTTCCTTTATTAATGTGTTGGTGTCGAGTATTTCTATGTCACCGGTGGTCTTCTTGCTGATGCCATTTTGGGACGGAGGAAAATCTCGCTTCTTCTGATTCTTCAGAGATCCTCTTCCCTTTCCTGCACCTGGAATGGAACCACCACGACCAGTGGTCCTCTTAACTCCACGGCCTTGTGGACCTTGACCAGACCGATGAGTAATACCTGGGTCACCTCCCTCCCATCTTATGTCTTCAGGAGAAATCTGAAGCAAAGCAAATTCTCAAATTGAATGCAAAATGCCCCACTTACTAGGAAACAATCGTACTGACTTCGGTTGAACTAGAGAGGGTCATAATGTGTATGAAGAATAGTAGTTGTCACATCAATTGTAGAAATACTCTAGTCCTGCTCATTTCAGTAGCATCTGAGGTTACAAATCAAGTCCAATCTTTGCTGATCTCTATTAATGTGACTTTATGATAACCTCCAAATGGTTCCCATGAAAACTTTCTTAGGCTTTGGCACTTCCAAATGCACAATGAACACTATTATATAAAAATCATGTCTTCTATTTACATGCATGTTGTTGATGATACATGTAAAAAAAGATGACCAAATACATAATTAGAATTTAGAAATACAATTTACAAACAAGACGTCATAAAATTGTAATTGGCTCACTCATTGTTTGCATTATCAGACGATTCTGATACAATACACTCAATCTGTAATGGTACAAATCAAGAACGCTTTGATTTTCTAGGCATTCTCAGCCTTAAAGCTAAAAGTTAGTTAAAATCAACTAAAACTGATCGAATTGAACTGGAACTGACCGATATCAATCGATTTTGACCAACTTATAACCCATTTGATAGCCTCAAAGGAAGAAAAAGAAGGGTTATAGCCAATTCATATTGCTCACACACAGTATGAATCGGTTGACTTGTCTTTCATCCATCTCAGCTTCCTTCTTCTTTTCCTTCCTCTTATATTGCTCATTGTATAACCAATTCATATTGCTCAGACAATATAAACAAGTCAACCGCTTTATAAGTTCTACACATCCATAGTACCACATCGATATAGTTGCAAAAATTCCATGCAATATGTAAATGATGAAATTCTCGCATAGGAAAAATAGGAAAAATAAACTCACCTCTTTGAGATTGACCCATTCCCATGTCTCATTCTTTGTGTGTATATCATAAACTAGAGCATGCAGACCCTGGCAACAATCCGAATAAAAAGATGACGATTATTATTAATTATATCATAGAGATAAATTATATACAAATAATAAACACACCTCTACTGGATTATAATCAGTTATAACAGCTTCATAGAAGTTATTATCTTCAGGCCATCTAGTCATGACTTTCCGCCCAATTAGTGGATCAAATGATGCTGGCTCAGCAGGTTCACCTGCCACAAGAACACCAGAAGAATTCCTATTGGCAACTTGGCTCCTTCCACTAGGACCTGCAGATGGGTATTTCATGGACTTCACCAAAGATGCACCAGGCAATGTCCGACCCTATAAGTTAGGGATAAGATTATTGAAAAAGGATATTGAATGTGAAAAAGAGAAGGTTTAAGATATAATTTATTATTACAATTAACTTACCGATTTAGGCTTCTTGGATTTGGTTCCTGCAGAAGCTGCCCTTTTTGCAGCTGATGATGATGGTTGCATGGGAGCACCAAGTTGCGATTGTAGTGCAGGAGATGGTGCACCTATTGAGAGAGAAGGTATAGGCTGTGACGTCTTCTGCCGCTTTCGAGATGCTGATACAGTAGGACTGGGTGCGGCAACATCTGGTTGAGCATTTGTAAGCATTCCAGTTTGAAGTCCACCGGTCTGCCTCCATTCCCTTGTTAAAGTCGACAAACGCTAAGAACAAACAATTGAGTGGCAAGAGAAGCAATATCCTGTCCTAGATAGTATGAATTTAGACTAAGAAGACCTATTTATGTACAGACCGTATCCTCCTAATAATGTCATCAGCATTAACCCTGCTCAATAGTTCTCTGTGTTCCTTGTCCGACACCCTCAGCTCCTTTCTAAGCTCAGTTATAAGACTTTCCTTCTCCTGAAGACAGTATTTCACCAAAAATTGGTATATTAAAAGAGACAAACAGCAGAATAGTTACTTATATATGGAAAACTATGTGGATTACTACCCAAGTGATGGCATCGGATTGAGCCTTAAATGCTCGAAGAACTGAAGTGTATGCTTCTTGCTCGAGCCGATGGATTTGTACCTCCATATCATTCTGTAACCTAGGATATACAATAGCACCAACTATGGCTCTGCCATTGCCACTCACATGGCCTCCTCTTGCACCCCTATTATGATGAGTCGGTGGAAGATCATCATCAGTGCCTGCAGCCAATGCAGCATCAATAGGATCAATAGACCGTATTGAGTGTTCAAAACAGAATTATTCAAAAGAAACATCTACAGTAATGTTGGTGGATAAAAAGCACTAAGCTGAAGCTCTGTTATCAACATCTTTCCTACAGTTAAAAGGACCAGTTTTCTCTGATACCAATATTTAGTGTTAATAGCCTCATTGTCCTCAAACTCTGAATTTATTCATTTGTGTTTAAACACAAGCCACATATCCTCCTGAAACATCATAAGCTTCCTCTTGAGTTACTGAAACAGCCTAGACCCAAGTGATCAAAGTTAAATGAAAATTGATGAAAATATGACTATGTTAGACTGAATTTCAAGATTAATTTGAAACTAGGATTAGATTAATACTTTTCTCATCATATATATGTCCATGATCATATTTATGACAAGGCCAAACTTCCACATTGACCTATTGACTGATCGACCCTAGAGGGTCGCCTGCCATAAGTTTGTTCATTTAAGTATATACCCACTGTAACTGCAAAGTTGGACCGTGTCTCAGAAGTTCTTGAATTAGAGCATTCAGCTATTAGATTAGCTCAAATCAACCCAAGAACCAGTTCATGC